CCCATAGAGAGCGAAGTCGGTCGAGGGAGAAAAAAAAGGAGCCTCAAGTGCAACCTTGGCGTGTTAGCAACACCATCGTAGGTAGCTTTGTGGGTGGTGGCTCTACCTCCTCAGCCTGAAAAAGACACCTAAGTGTAGACACCCAGTTTCATCCAAGGTACGCGAGACAAATAGTCCTTGAGGGAGCAACACGTTGGGCAACATTTTTCTCTGATAATATCTCTCATTGAAAATATAATTTTTACGATCTAACCATTGAAGTTAAAGATTAATGTATTGAGAAGGTATCATCAAAATTTTAGCATGATCCAACGGTTAACGAATTCTCTAGAGACCTCGCACTGCAACTGAAAAGAGTAGCACAAATGGCCCCTAAGGGCTCAATAGAACACCTAAATGGGCCAAGATAGCTTTGGAAGGCCCAAAAAACTCAAAAACACTAATTTGGGGGCGTGGAACAGGCATTCCCAAATTGGAATTGGCCATTCCAAATGTTGGAACGGATCGTTCGAAAACCGGAACGGTTTATTCCCCTTTCTAGAAAGTTTTACGTTGGGTAGCGTTTTTGTTCTAATAATATCTCTTGCTAAAGACGGAATTTTGATAATCTGACCGTTGAAGTTAAAGATCAATGTATTAAGAAGATATCATCAAATTTTCAACATGATCCAACGGTTAATGAATTCTCTAGAGGCCTCGCATTGCAGCTAAATAACAAGAGTCTTATACTAGACAACATTTTTTCTATAATAGTATCTCTCACTACAGACCTAATTTCAACGATCCAACCATTTAAATTGGAGATCAATATATTTTGAGGGTACCATAAAAAAACCAACATGATCTGACGGTTAACAAGTTTTTTAGAAGTCCCACATGGTGCTTAGAAAAATTATATTTTTATAAAATCTAGTCATCAATCGAATAACTCTCTTATGCTTCTGCCTCCTAGTTGGTTATTTAAAAATCCATATGACCGAGGGATTGGGGGACCAAAAAGTTGCATAGCTTCCCCCCTTTTCTATATGAATCTTTGAGAAATAGTGAGATTTTTATAGAGTTAAAGACTACTAAAACATGCTCCACACGCTTAACAATTTGTTAATTTTTTTAAATATTTTTAATAATTTGTTGAAAAATTTACTTTTAGTTCAAATACAAATAAAAAAAAATTAAACCTACGTTTATATATATATATATATATATATGTATATA